GTAAGAACAAACAATGGAGAGTCAGCCAATGGTCTCTTCCGAGAGGACTCATTAAATTACTGTCTGCCCAAACAATTTTCAGCTCTTCAAAAGAACGAATTAGATCTGAGTGTACCCATACAGAAAAGTGTCCAAATATATTAAGTTAAGAAAGCAAGTGATGAAACAGTGTTCTTGGTGTGATTCCCATTTGAATATTTTAAAAAGTATTATATATAGAGTCAGTTGCATAAGTATAAATCATTTCTTGAAGGATGTAAGCTGTGAAATGTGGTTACCTGTGGCAAGAGCACGTGGGGGAAGTCAGGTGATTTTTACCTTTCACTGAATACTGTTCTGCATAACTGAAGACTTTACTCTGACTGTGTAATATTTTCACAATATGTAACAAATTTAATCTTTGGAACCAATCTCAGCTAGGGCAGCAAATTATCTATAGGAGTTCTAGCTGTTTGTGTTTATCTGCAGATTGAGAAAGCCAGATGGAGTAAGAAGCACACGTGATCACTCCTGAACGAATGACTTCTTATTACACGTCCTCCTGAGGAATGCAGTGTCACCAAGAACCTCTGGGCAGCACCGAGGTGAAATGGGACAGTCTCTAAGGACACATTTCCCATTTTTCCTCTTCTCTCCCACTTCCCCTCAACACAGTTTTCCCTTGCTGTGGTGCAGTGCACAAGGTGGTTCCTGACACAGCTCTCCCTCTCTGGGTTCCCTGGGGAGCCAGCTCTGCCCTGGGTTTGTGCTCGCTTGTCATGGTACCTGGGTCTCAGCTTCCTCTTGGGGGCAAAAAAAAAAAAGATGGTATAAGAGAGTAGCCATTGTAACTGAGAAGCCTCCTCAGCTCCCGCGACTAAACTCTGACATTAAGGTTCTGGAACCATACAAGGCATCCCACATCTAATTACTATAAATGTGCTTATGCATTAGAAAGCATCAGAGTCGCTTAATGACAACAGCTTGAGACTTGCTCGGGGAGTGTTAGGAAAAACGAAAAATCTTTGACGACACCTGCACTTATTATCACTGGGGAAAGAAAGGACTTAGGAAGGAACTCTGGAATTTGACAGCTCTCGAATGTTTTTTGTCTCTCCTCTTGCTGCTTTCTTCTCTGGGAAGCCAGACATAATCCTTTCAGCTGACTTTTCATAACTGCCTGAGGCTGCTGAATATTCTTTCAGCTTGCTTGCTTTTTCTTCTACACCTGAAGCAGCGTGTAAGTCCAATCAATGGTGTGGAAATGATAGGATCCTCGTGACAGGACGGGAGGCTAAGACCTGGAAAGTTTCATTAATGATGAGACACTGACCTCCGGGAAGATCTGGAACGGAGTTCAGTTCGACTTTGCTGGCAAGGAGGGTACCCTGAGTTCCACTGGGCGGACGGGGCAGCTGCCTCCCACGGGCACATTTTGTCAGTTCTGGGATGTGTCCTAGACAATTCACTCTATGTAGCTGCAGTAAGCTATCCAAGGCGCACCGCACCCACTGGGTGGGAAAATGCTAGAGTGTGCAAGCCAGCTGCTGTGTGTGTTAGTGGGTGTATATGTGGGCTCTGGACAGGAAAAACTGGGACCAATTATACAATTTTCCTTTGGGCGGTCCAAGCAGGCTCCCTGGTTTGGATGGCTTGTCTGGGAAGGGATAGATTCTAAGTCCCTCTCAGTGTGATGCAGTAACATACCTGCACTGTCACACTGCATAGTGTATGTGTGTGTGTGTGGGTGAGCCAGAGAGAGAAACAGATGGTAAACGACAGCAATAGAGCTACAGATACTTTAAGAAGAAGAGGCTTGAACATCTAGTGAA